TGGCACCAGCCTTTAACAGACTGCACAGTGACAGTTGCAGCAACGAGCAAGCAGCTACAATTAATGTGGCGCTTGTTATTAACTGGACATAAAAAATATTTGTTCCTTACTCTTTCCTTTACATCCAGTAAATTAATTTCTTTGGCAAACTGTAACATCGTGATGACATATTTTACATTTTAAAATTTAACGGTGTAACACCTGACGCACTGCAAGTGTTAAGAGGCTACTGAAAAGCAGGTGATTCAATCTGCCATAATCGCTGCTGAAGAAAACCTGTGTCCTCGTGTCTACATTTCAATATGGGTAAGGGAGCCTCAGAAACCAAGTTACTGCCTTGAAAATCTCAAAATTCGTTTTTGAACTCCCAAACATTTTTTTTTTTTAACAGTAAATTGTGGTTTTCAACATTGCATCAAAGAACTGAAAATATTCTCACGTGGAAAATAAAACACTACGCTGTAAAAGTATAGACTTTTCGTCAAATTCAGCAGATTGGAGCATTCTGATGCAGCCACAGTAAAAAAAAAAAAAAAAAAAAAAAATGTTATTAGCATCGGCTATAGTTTTTGGAGTTCCCACTGGAGTACTCCTGCTAGGAAAGGCGACTTAGGGTGTAATACCCGAGGACGTGCAAAGCGTACTCTCGTGATACATGATTGGGGGGAAAAAAAAAAAAAAAAAAGGAGAGAGAGAGAAAGAAAGCAAAAAGGCTTTGAAACACAGCCGAGGGATGCCCACGGCAATTTTCCACCGCGATTCCAGCCGGGATGGGTTCCCGGGCTGTGTCACCGCAGCTCGTCCCGCTCCCCCCGCGCCCCTCGGCGGAGCTGGAGCGCCACCGCCTGGGCCGGCCCCGCAGTGCAGCCTGTGCCGGGCCGCGGCGGGGGACGAGGGACACGGGCGGAACGGAGACAAAATCAGAGCTTTTGTGAGGTCAGCGGGCACTCCGACACTTCATGGGAAAGGTCTGGGGGCTGCTCCAGCGACAGTCACAACCTCTGCGAGTACTCTGCACGTTCCTCTCCCTCCTGCGATCCCTCCCGCCAGCTGCCCGCGGGCACCCAACCTCGCCAAAAGCCAAGCTTATTCAAAAAAAACCAAAACAAACAAACAAACCCCCAAAACAGCAGGAGAAACAAGAGAGGAAATTTCCAAGAAAAGCCTTTTTAAATATAAATCCAAGAGGATAATCGCTAAGATAATACAGCCAGCTTAGTGATTCCATGTACTTGGTCAGTGTTAGATAAAAATCCGGTGCCAGAGGAAGCACTCCTTGCTGTTTGCTATCCTGCCTCTCTGCTTTGTGTTTCAGAAGGCAATTCCTTAAAAAACAAGTACATCAGCTTCAGAAGTAACAGATATAGCCACTGGGGTTAGGAACTTGAGAGTCCAGTAATATTCTAGTTTTATAGCACTGTAGGAAAATATAATAGAAGTATAAACCAGTGTGGACCAAGTCACTAATCAATTACACTTGAACATAACTCTAAGACATACAAATAATTTTAGGTAATATCTTTAGGGAACTATCTAATTTCAGACCTACATGCCTATTTTCACACACTTATTGTCACAAATTTCATGAGATGTTTTGTCATTAGTTACAATGGTATCAGGATTTGGCCTGCAATATTAAACTAAGGACCCAGGCCAGCAATCACTTCACTCTCAAAAACTCCACTGAAGTCAACAGAAGACTCTCATTACCTACTACTGACAGAATCCAGAGGTAAAAATGACTCTTCCAAAAAATGAACAGACCATGAATATATCACAATGAGTTCCTCTAGCTGACAGCTTATGGGCTACTGCCCAACATTTTGATTTTAAAAGGTATGGTTGTATAAGGTAATGAAATAAGTGCCTTCAAGATGTACGCTGGGGTGAGGGATAGTAATAGCAAATCACCTTTTGCTTCATTAAAACATAATAAAAATAAGGGAGAGGGTAACACCCCCTCTGTCAGCCTAAGCTATCCACTGCTCCTGGATTTCATTACCATCTGGTTTTTAAAATATCTATTCTATAATGAATAAATACTAATAATTCTGAAAGAACTAACTTGTGAATAGGGAGCTTTCAAATATGGCTTGCAAACATGAAATGTCAAATGTACCTGTGATACCTGAAATTTCAAAAGCATTTTTAGGAATTAAGACCAGGTCATGATCTTTGTATTACGAAAACTGGGGAATGCTATAAGATCCCATGCATATATATCCAATTTGGAATAGGATATTAAAAAGCCCGTGGATTTTAATACAGACAGAGATAAGAAAAAAATAGTCTGATGGTAGTGGTCAATCATAAACTAAAACCAATCCCCTGTCACACTTTTCATTGCAACAGGTAGACATTTTGAAGACAACAACTCCTCACACTGGTATTTCCCGCACAATAGCAACAAAAAAAAGAGAATTTACTACTAAAGTTTACATTAAATCTCAACACTTATTTCAGCATTTTGACCACTGAGCTGAATGACTATAAAAAGTCTAATACATATTTTCAATTAGCAAAATGTAGGAAAATATATAGAACGTTATGACAGTCAAGATGTAGATCTAGTCAGTGTGCCCATAACTTTGGTTCTCTTAAGCAATTTTTAGTTTGTATCTATGGTGCAGTTGGATGTGAGATAACATTACACAAAAAGTCACTTTCGACAAATTAGCTGAGGAAACAAAGCAGTGAAGATACAGCAGAAGAGACCTGAAGGGGCATTAAAAATCTTTACATATAATCCAAGTGCTCTAAGGTTTTGTGCAGCCCCTATTGCTGCCTCGCCTCTGCTATGGTTACCAAATAAAGCTCAAAAGGCAATCTCAGTCAGAAAAGGAAAGAATGTGGAGAAATGGACAAACAAGAGGTCAGAAAAATACAGAAAACACGACAACAAAATACTGCAATGCAGAAAAATACAAGTAGAAAAACATTACAGCAAGACTGAAAATATTGGTTTCTTATTGTGACGAGCAGATTCAGTGAGATAACAACCACAAATCACTACACAAAGTAAGAAATGGAAAAGAAAAGATAGATCAGGAACTTCTGCTTTCCCTATTCATAATATAAGAAATACTTCTAATGAAATTTAAAAATCAAATTAAAAATAAAAACTGTGCAAAGAATGGTTAGAATATGAAAAATTACTACTATGAGAAGTCAAGCTGACTGACAAAAATGAATATGTTAGTATGGGTAACGGAAGTATCCACTATAATAAGTCGAAATGTTAAAATGTCAGAATCAAAGGTTTATGAGGAGAAACCTACTGAAACTCTTAACAGTTACACTGACTGCTGAGATTTTACACTGAAAAAGAGATTCTCCACATCCTCTTAGTTCCTACATCTTCCTCAGGAACTAATCATGGAAATGAGATTCTGGACTAGACGTGTCCAGGTATGCTGAATTAATCTCATAAAACCTACACATACGCACTTCTCAATATGTAAAATCTCATGGTAACAAAACTCATTTTACTGAGGGGTGAAATGGTTACATATCGATTTAGTTTTCTGCCTTCCTTAAAGTAAACTGCTTCTATAGAAGCTGGAAGTTTTTCACTCCCTAATATTTATATATTTGGGTAGCAGAGGTCCTAATTTCCATAAAACAAGAAGATATAAATTTATCATCATGACAAATCACCTGTGGGGAGTGTAGAGATGAACAGTCTCTGGAGCATGTTAATTGGACTGGGGTCTGAGTTGTCTATATCTGGATATGTAGATTTAGTGACTCCACCAAACGGTGAAAAAGCCAATGGGATAATTTGCAAGAGCCATTTCTGAGAATTGTATTGTTTATTGGTCAGTAATTTGCCAAATTCTCTACAGGTATTGTCCTCCTTTCCACAGTTGTAAAAAAAAATCTACCATCCAGAATCACGGGTGATATTCTTGGAAGAAAAATGACAATTAAATCATTTATTTTAAGATTGCTTCCAAGATACTATGGTCTGCTTTGCCATTAGGTTGTCTGTCCATTTTACGGTCAAGTTACTCTGAAAATACTTTTCCATTCACCTACTGAAGTTTCCCTGTTCCACTTTTCATAAGCTCTATTCCAGTTAAAAAATAAATGGGGAAACAATAAGTGCAAATACAAATGTTAATTAAGTGTGTAATCCCTAGTCCAAATCTTAGAAAGACAAATTCTTTCGCTGGAGGAAAACATCAGATGTGTTAATGACTTAATAAATCATGCTTTTCATTAATTTAATTTTCATATTACATTATCCACCCAGTTGATGTTTGTTTTCCACTAAAATATCGTTGAAATCAGACATTACTTGAAATGCCTGCAAGAGAAATACATATGGCAGCCATGTGGATACAGCAGTGGAACTATTAATACCAAGGCTTCGCTGGGAGTTGATAGTGATGGAACACTTGCAAGTGCTGTTCCTAAACAATGATGCAACCAGGAATGTACCAGTTCTCTGGGGCGTCAAGTTGATAAACATTTGCATAACAGGCACTTTATTTTTCTTTCCGTGATTAATGCAAACAAGATGATAAGGGAAACTAAAGGTAAAATTTGCTGCTATTTCTCTTTTAGTACAAAAATCTCTAGTGCTCCTATTTTGCTTAAAAATATGCTTTAGTGACATTTCTGCACATATATTAAATTAACTTTAACACTTTAGCATGACAAATTGGGGTTATTACACAGTGCTGGAGCATTCCAACATTCCATTTCACTGTAAAATGAACATAATTATAGCAATTTTTGGCTTTGCTATTTTGCAGTAATGGAGGTCTGCATCTTCTGCAGAAGCAACTTGTATATTTATTTTCCCTGGGTTTTTTCATGCTAACCTTTGTCTCCAGATGTAAATTTACCAAGAACTATAATGTGTTATAAAGCCATATAAAGTAACTGGTCTACTGTATTTAATTTTTTTCATGTATATTACACTATTACACTAAGAAAAAACCAAATGCAACACATATAGCAAAATATAATAGATCAATAAATAGCATTCTTACCAAAGGCCTAAGTTCTGGATGAGTCAAAATATATCCATTGTTTGTAATTGCAAAAGCATATCCATGAATACCTAACTGTAAAAGTAAATGAGAAAGAAATACTAATTAGCAACTCATAAGCCTTATCCACACAGTGTTTTATTACAACATAGGCAAAGATCCTTGACATTTTGTGAAAATGAGGATGTGACCTTGAAATGAATTCAGCATGTAGCACAATTTTAAAATGTCACAAACACTCTCCTATGCAGGGCACTTGTTTCCGTGTTGTGTAACCCTTGTTGTGTTACAATGGATTATATATTACATATATGTACGAGATGCCACAGCCTGGGACACACACCATAGCATGTGCCCAAGCACAGAGGTACAGGAATTCAGTAAATTCAGCTATTCCCAGGAGTGGTGAGGCACAGCTCACTTCACCTGTTCAACAGCTGTTGTTTAAGAACCATTTAAATCAAAGATAATGAATACACAGCTATAGTAAGCAAGCAGTGACCTGTCATATGTGATATTTACATTTTCCAATCTTATAGGCTCTCTGTTAATTCCAGTTCATCTGCAGCCACAGAAAGCATATTTCTACTAAAGAAACTCCTCTAACTTTACATATTTGTACTAAATGGAACTGGAGATTATTTGAGGGCAATGAAACACTTTATAAGGTCTAGCAGTATAGGTAATCAAATTTAGCACTGTACTTACTTAAATAACAATACTAGTCTTTTTAACAATATGCCTATTACACAGTTGATTGCATCCACTGAATGCAATAAATATACCTTCAAATCATTCATGTGGTCATTCAAACACCCCTTCTTACCATAAACTTGCTGTTAATGTAGACTCTTTCTGCACTTTCACTAGGTAACTTTTGCCATGCAGAGCACATCTCACTATCCTTTCTCACCTGTTTTTTTTTTAATTCTGAAGTAACATAATACAACATGCCATTTTTTTTAAGCAACCTAATGCACTGGGCTATTAATAACAAAAAAAAAAAACCAAAATAAAAATCAAACTCAAAATTCCAGAACTATCTTGCTTTGATGTTTACTTTAAAATTCTCACTATTAAAAACCTTTCTATTTAACTTGAGTGCATTCTTAAACGCTTTGCTGAAGTGGGTCCTTAGGAATTTGTCTAACATGAAGCAATGTGGGCAAGGCTGACAAGTCAGAATCATTTTGAAGGGGCAAAAAGGAGAGCAAGCCTAGCAGCTTCTGTAATTCTCTGGAAGTATAAACCAGAGTACGATATTGTGGCGAGGTCACAGGGAAAGCATACCAGGTTGATTTATAGTGTCTCTGTGTGAATAATTGTATATGGTCGACTCTATCTGCCATATAGAAGATTGTTTCATAAATTAGCGGTTTTCCTAAAGCAATAAACTTCAGTGAAAGTAATAGAAGGTGATATGTTCTTGGCGTCTCTTCATAAGGGGGGGATAACCAAAATAATAACAGTGGACATATTTTACCTATTATAGTATGACAAGGGAATAAGCTGTTGGCTAAATAGCAGATCTCAAGTATAATTGTCTGTGTTTCTAACTGCAGAATGACATCCAGGCAATGGAAGTCAGGTAAGGAAACAAATGTGGGTGGTATAATTCACAGGAAAAAGTACCCAGACTCCAAGGGCAGTATTTTATTGTGTTCTGGGCAATATGTGAAATTACACAGTCTCTGCACTTAAAATGCTTTGGTTTGAGAGATACTACCACTTACAGCAGCATTGCCTTTTTAAACCTTGAACTCTGTCTCTAAATTGCAGATTCAGAGACAAAAAAAATTTCTAACTGCTGTAAAATGCCACATGGAAGTCCTGTATTACTAAATTCAACCCCATCTTATTCAAGAGAAACTGCCACTGACATCTGGGGAAGTTTAGTCTAGATAACAACTGCTGAAAATAGCTTGTTGCTGTTACCCATCTTCTCTGGCATAAAATCCCCCTCATCGAAGCCGAGAGAATTCCAGGTCAGCAGAACTCTATTTCTAAGCAATCATTTTATATCCCTGTGTGAATTTTATTTCGTGTGTTGCCTCTACAGGAATGGGTCCCAGGGGTGATTATGCTCTTGCCCTTGCAGTCTTTGTTTATGGTATGTGAGACTGGAAGTTGTAACTCAAGTGATTTCACTAATCTAACTGTACTGCATGATATTGGTGCCTCCTGTAATAATCCTCACTTGCAGTACCTCCTGCAGTATAAAATGTACCTTCAAATAAAAAGTTTAATATTCAGCAAGAGGATCTCATATTGCTTTCACAGAAGCCCATTTCTTAAAAAATTTTTCCTTTTCTGAATTACTAACTCTGTTGCAATACCTGTTATTCAGGCCTCCCACTCTCTCTAGTTCTTGCATTCAGACTATGTCCAGATCTTAGAGATAACTTAGGAATAACGTCACTGTGATTTATTTTTTTCCTACCCAGTCACGAACAGCCAAGTTTTTATTTCTGCAGGTACCACAACACTGTGCTTCCTTCTCATTACAAATGAAAACTTGCTCTTCCCATAGCTCATTAGAAGGCTGCTCCAAAGATTGTTTCCATTGCTTCCAATTTTGCAAAGGGGCACATTTTGCTCCCTTCTCTTCTACCTTTTACTGATGCAGTATTTCTGCACACAAACATATAAGTTGCTGTTACCAAACTTTGTTGGTCAGTGCACTGAGATCGTTCCCTGTTGTTGATCCTGACCAGCAATGTCTCTGTCCCTGTGTTCTGATATCAGTGTGCACTCATCTGCTGCCTCTTCCCATAGTGTCCAACTTTTTTCCAGCTGCGACAGCCTTTCTGTTCTGTTTGCATAGCACCTGGCCTCGTGGGATCCAGGTCACAGGAAATTACTCCAGTACACCTTATCAACACTATTGCCACTATTTTATGCATTATTTTAATCAAATTCTCATTTCATTTAGATTTTTTAGTTACTGCATATTAATCAGAAAATAATTTGGTAATTGCTAATGTATTCAAATTAGAATTAAAATTGATATGAGGAATTTTTTTGTCCTAACTAGAATTATCTACAAACACATGTGACAATATTCAAAGGTAGTCACAAGTCAGCTTCTTCCTTCACCCTCTTAGAAATCAGTAAATGAGAGCACGGCAGCCAATTTAGAGGGAAGTATGATATACAAATTTATGCTCAGTATGCATGCATGTCAAAAAGCAGCTATTCCAATATCTGCACTCTTTAAAAAGGCTGTCTGCAGTATTATGTTACATGCTTGTTTGTCATGTAAAAAAAATCCACTAGGAATTAAGTGGAAAACATTAATTTAATTTTCACTTGTGAATAAAAGAGCACCATAGTAAAACATTTCAGACATAGAGAAGTAGTGACATACTAATGTATTGCATCGAATTTAAATGAAAAGTAATTATATCTTTGTGTTTGCCTGAAGTTTATTTTTACTGAGTTAAACACATTTCAAAAGAGATATTATAATTAATTTTTAAGAATTTTATAGTAAAGTTGTCTCTGACTTTGGAAAACTAAGTAGAGGGAAATACCTAACAAATACTGGGGAGGAGAGAAGGAACCACTTGTCTGGTTAGGAAGGAACTTGTTTAAGTTCCTACAATGTGCCACTTGCTTTAACTCCAGGAGTCACAGAATTTGGACAGGAATTACTACACACAAACAGGAAGCCTAAAGCTAGGTTAAGGATAGGTTCTCATAAAAAGTTACAGAATTTTGCAGCCTGAATTTCTGCTTATTTTGCATGGTATTCTGGCTGGATTGTGTGGTTGAATAATTTCACTGATTTTATTACAGACAATACTTAATATTACCTTCTAGAGCACATTGATCCCAAAAATGTGAAGATCAAGCCATATATTAATTTTGGTGCTAAAAACTGCATTTGAACTCAGACATTACAGAACTACAGTTCCTGAGGAAAATGAATGAAATAATGGAGCTACATCACTGCAAACAGTATCAACATATGAAATAAATTATGTTATATTTTGGGTATTATACAGAGTATAAATGATATCTCATCATTTGTGTATTACCTTGTATTTTGGAATGGTTTTTAAAAGCTCTTTAACTGGAACATCTGTGCCAACTACTCCCAGAAGAATCCCTTTAGACCTCTGAAAAGAACAATAAAATATGTACTCAGAACCACAGTAATAATAAACATTCTCACCACTTATTTCACCTCACAGCTACACTGCAGAAGTTAAGAGATTACAGACAAATTATTTAAAAAGTGGGGAACTCAGCCAATCAAGCAGTAATTTAATCAATAATATTGCTCCTTTCTACTTTATCTGCAATTCACATAGAAAAGGCATGCAAGCTTTTGAGAGCAAGTCCTTCAACAGAAAATTTTCACATGCAAAACAGGTTTTCAATTTAAAACTACTGTTAAAAATGTTGCTCCCTTCTTTCCCAATATCTCCTGCCATTTCATAAACAAAAGAGAAAGATGAAGCATTAAGGGGAAAGTACACTTAACTTTCTTTAATAATCTGTTAAATTATTAAAGATAAATAGACATAAACATAATCTAAATAAATTTAGTGTTATATCAGTGCAAAGCTGAAAATTATATAGATTATTTTCTGTAAAAAAGCAATACAGAAGTAAGAAAACCCAAAGGCCTAGTGTCATCTGAGATTTTTCTCTTAGACATAGTTTCACCATTTTACTATGGTTTCTAGAGTATAGTTATTTGGGATTATTTTTCCACATTTTTATGCTAATAAAGGGATACTAACTGCAGACAAAATAAGAAGAGAAGAAAATTTTTAGAGTTGGCTAAAATCTTATTAAGTCCCTGAAAGCAACTTCATTGCAGTCACGTCATTGTCACATGACAGTAATAGTCTGAATACTTACAGTCTCATTTTGCTTACTAAATACTGGCATGGCAACAGTTGTCATCAACACCAATCCCTGATCATCAGCAAGCTACATTTGAAAAAGAAATACTATCTCTAAGAAATACGGAACAATTACAGACATGTGATTGCATTTTTCAATTACATTTTTTTTTCATTTGAAATGAGACAAAGCAATTTCTCCAAATGACACTTACATAGTTAAAGTTGCAGTCAGTGCAGCCCAGCCCAGCCCCGGCCCCATCTGAACTGTACCAGCTCTAACCATCCCACCACCTCCACTGACAGGAAAGATGCCTCATCTTCATTCCTACTGCAGCCTCCCATGAGAGAGAAGGGGCTGAAATGTGGATTGTGGAAGCAGCATGTGCGGTAGCAAAGCAGCTGGAGGTCTGTTCTACATCTTTCCCAGTGGCAGCTCTGCCAAAATTGCCTCAGGCTGTTTTCTCGCAACAAAGAACAAGAGGTCATGAGTTGCACGCACTTTGTTCGGGTCCAGGCTGAGATCTCATCAGCCAACACAGCGGCAGAAAGGATGACAGCCAGTGAGGATCCCGGGAGCATCTCTGCTCCATCCGGTTTCAGTTCACTGGACAGAGGTGGCATGAAGCATTAGCTGATTCTGCACATCAGGTTTCAACGTATTTCTTCAATTTCGGGAGAAAAGAGATCTTCTGACCTTGGTTCCACTCAAGAGAAACATGTAGAATGCTTATCATTGGCCAAAGGAGAGTGATAGTGCTCAGACTATCTCTCTTCATGCCCTCTGGGCAGACTAAATCTCTGCCCTAAGGCACAGACTAAGTGCATGCCCAGGACAAGCACTCCTGTGTGTGCCTGTAGATCTTCACCATCTACATATGAAAGACAACTCAAGCAGGAGGCTGAGAGTTACTGTTAAACTCTTTCAGTTTCTAGGGACAGATGTTTGAAGAGGCTTATCCAACACTTAAAAATATGACACAGTTATAATGTTAAGTGGAGATTTCGTAGAACACAAAGTTTAGCCAAAAGGACACGGCCATAGAGAAGAACATCCTGAGAAATACTATAGGTGACAGTCATGCCCAACTGCAACTGTGATATTCTCCTACTACTCCTACATCAGTATCACACTTTCTGTTCTCAGGTAGAATTTCTACAGGTAGAATTTCTAATACTTTTTTTTTTTTTGCAATTTTTTTTAACTGTTTACAAGGTTTTGTTGTAACAAAGCAACAGCTATTAGCTCCCCATATTTTCAGGAAACAAGTAATTTTTAATGATAAAGATAGCTCATGAAGCATATTTCACAAGAACAAATGAGACAAATAAAATCTAGAAAATTTCTTGACTTGCAGCTCCCAATCTACTTCACCAGGATTTCAGTTTCCCAAATAAGTATAGTTGTTGAAGCAGGGCACTATTTTATGGTGAGAAGGAATGTTTGCAGACATCAGACAGGAACACAAATGGGGTTGAGTCAAGAAAGTTTACATCCAATAAGGAATCACTAGGGATATGAGATGGAACCAACTTATGATTGTGTTTCCTTTTTTTTTTTTTTGTTTTGTTTTCCTTGGTAATAAGAAGAGATATTTCCAGCCCCAATATAATACTTGATCTATTAGGGAATAATAGTAAGTTACTAAGCAAAAAAAACCGCAAAATCAAAAACTTGACAAAACATTGGGAGTTCAATGGTTGGACTTGAAACTCAAATGTTGCCAAATTACTGTAAGAATTGACTCTCCTTGGCCAGAGTAGTACAGTCAAGCACACCGACATGATTAGTATGGAGAGAAGCCTTCTGGGGTATCACAGTCAATAGTCCCAAACTCACACACACCAGGGAATGAAAAAGCATTCTGCTGATTATGGGGTGATATTTTGGAGCATTTAGAGATTTTATATGATTGCCCAGGGTTGTTCTTCTCTGACATCATGTATTTGTCAAGTATCAGAACAGTATTACTTTATGAGTCCACTCACTCTCAAGAGATCACTCGAAACAATTTAATGGATAGGATGCAGCCAAGGGACTGTCAGTAGAATTTTAGGGTATTTGAAATTCTTTAAATAGAGAAAAAAAAAAACACAGACTAGAGCTCCTTGGAAATTCTAAAAGAACAGCTCACTAACTCTCAAAACTAATTGTGGGGGCATGCAAGAGTGATTGCCCTGTAATTATGAGAGATATCTACAAGCACCAACTAGAGTTGGCTGCTGCAATCACTTCTACAGAATTGCAATTGTATAATCCAGCCTGTCTGATTTTTTGTTAGTTTGGCAGATGAACAGGTTGTTGGCCACTACCATAAGTGGAGTCAGCAAATAACTAGTTGAGTAATGACTCGAATTTGCAGTGTTTTACTGAGTCACCAACTCAAGCTGCAGCATTTGCTTCACAAAAACTGTTAGATAGTGAAGAATTATCTGCTGGGGAGGAGCTTGATTCCCTGGGCAATGACATTTTGGCAGAAATACTTTGAAACAGTAGAATGTTAGCCACTGGGTATTTCTGCTAAGACAATTAATGCTAGAGTCCATTAAAAAAATCCAAAGGAAGTCATGATCTAGGTATTTTGCATTGTTGCTTTTCAAGACTGACAATTTCTTACACGTAGCAGAGTTCTAACAGGTCATGCAAGTGTATGAAAAATTTAGTGATACAGAGGAAAAAACCTCAAACCAGTAATATATGCTCTAATCACTGATAAAGCTTCAGTTCATATTAGTTATATTCAGAGCAAACACTGATATCCTCAGGACTGGCTAGGATTTTTATTTTAATCATCATTTAATTAGAAGTTAACACAATGAAAAATGTTAACTATCACAAACAGTAAATAATGATAAAGTCTCTGAATGACTGAATGCTTTTTCTCAAAAAGAAAATGTAAACATTCGTTATGATTCCCAAACTTATCAATTGGACACCACAAAGTCATAGAAAAGAATTTTGTAAGCTTGGGGGGAAAAAAAGCACTGTAGTCAAACATTTCTTAGAGGAAATATTTTTAAGGATTTTTTTTTTTCCTACCTCATCAGTCTTCACTATCCTACTGGTCAGACTAACCCGGTGACCAGTATTGGGCTGCCTACTTCCTCAGGCAGGAAAGGAGCAGGGATGTGTCTGGGAGTCCCCAGCAGTGTGTGAGACTTGAGTGGCTTCTGCTGTCTACACCAGGGGTTTCAGCCTGAATAAATTCTCCACAGTGAGGTGAAAACAGTGTGAACACCTCTCACTACAGACCCTCCCGTGGCAGACACAGCACGCACGGGAACCTCTGAACTGAGGCAAACCACGTATGCACAAGCACAACTCCTTTGCAGTGGGGTATTTTTTCATATTCAAGTTTCTCCTCAAAAAACTGGAAAAAAAGGACTCATCTCTACACTGAATGAGCATCTTTTTTAGTACTGCCAGTCTACAATAAAGTTTTCATATTGCAGCCCCTGTTATTTCACCAGTCATTTCAGATATTATTTGATTCTCTACCTTTCTGCTGAACTGTTCATTTCTGATTTATTTCTACATTTGAGGACACTACAAATTTCATCTACTAGAAACATCAATTCACAATAACATAACTTCTTCTAGTGTTTATTAATAAATGAAAAACAACAAAACAAACCTCAATTTAATCTTCTCTAAGCTTAGCTTCCACTCATATTTTCATTTTCTTTCTTTTTTGCCCTTAGTAGGAGCTATTCCCACCTCTTTTACATCATGAGTCAAAGTAGTAGACCTCTTTTGTCAGGTGAGAGAATATTTAAGAAGATATCTGCCACCATTTACGAAGAACCATCATTACAAGAAAAATACAAGGCAACATTAGCTTCAAAATGCCAATTATTTGACAGTGTTTGACTGGATAATAAACCTACAAAAATTTCAAATTAATTAAATAAGAATTCATGGGAATTCTGATCAGTGAAATATTAAATCTGTGTGGATTCATGCACATGGGAGACTATTGAACTGCACGGTCTCTCAGACGTTTCTTATTCCTTCAAGTCTGGAAAGATACCCTCAAATAAACAAAAGTAGTTTAATTATTATTATTCCTATGGCTCTCTAAACTATGGAATTACCATGGTAGAGTAAAAATACATGTACTTCAGTGCTTGAGGGCGGTCAACTTGAAGTTGGAATGAATTATGCTATGGAATATTCATTTCTCAAATTTTCATCTAATAGCACTGCAAAAAAAATAAGTTCTTGTAGCTTGTCCAACTTGCACGAGTATGTTTTGTCTCAGAATTGCTACTTTGGATCACACTGGCAAGAGAAAGTAAAACTAGACCCCCAAAGAAAAACACAGATTTCAGCTAGATCCTAGGATTTGGTAAGTTATCACTACATTCATCATCTAAAATGATGAATGAAAGAAACAGCACCAGTGATCTGCCACAGGAAGTTGCTCTATTGGAAAAATGCAGTGGTAACAGTTTTAGGTAGAAAACTGTACAAGGGCCACGGACACTCAGTTTGATAAAATGCTGAGCAAACAATAACAAACCTTTAAAAAAAAAATCTCAAGAATGAGGAAAAACGCATTCCCAGGCTAAATGTCTCTTGGGTGTTTAGAATAAAGAAACAACTTACTCTCTGAGAAAGTCACAGACCTGTAATGCCTAGCAGTAATAGTTTCATAATTGGAGAAAAATTCCTTCTGGAAGGAGATTTAACTTCTACATCTTTTAATTCTTCTGCTGTAGAGGGTTACCCTCCCCTCAGACCAACCCCAAACAGATTTTCAGCAACAACAAATAAAGAAGATGCTCTTAGAGTGAGCCCCTTAAAGTTTAGCCTCCCATCCAGCACTAGCATCCATTCCAGGATAAAGACTAAGGCAGGCTCTGGAATTACTCCAGAAATGCATATACAGGAAAGAATATCCATTTCCTTAGGTGTTTCCTTTACAGAAAGAGGAATTTGAAATGCATCCCTGAAACATTTTCCTAAGGGGTGTATAGGCAAGAACACTTACAGGAGGTTGTCCAGAGTTTCTGACACAGAGTCAGTAGCATCCATATCCATCACTGCTAATACCTTGTTATTCCTATTTACATATATCATGCAAT